TGTTTTTTAAGAGATGGGGTGTTGCTCTATTACCCAGGTTGGAGTACGGTAGTGTGTTCATAGCTCACTGCAGTCTTGAACTCCTGGGCTCAAGCAGTTTTCCCACCTCAGCCTTCTAAATACCTAGGATTATGGGTATACACGACCACATCCACTTTTTTTTTTTTTTTTTTCAATTTTTTTTTAGAGACACGGTCTCAAATATATTGCTCACGCTGGTCTCAAACTCCAGACCTCAAGTGATCCTCCTGCCTAGGCCTCCCAAAGTGTTGGGATTACAAGCATGAGCCACCACACCCAGCTATGAGACCCCTTTATAAAGCTATGGCTGGAAGGGCCAAGTTAGTACCTGTATCAGAGACTGATTAATTTTACTGTGTTTTATAACTCAGAAAACAGAATTGATGTATACTTGATCTTTGGTCCTTATTAATAGTGAGCCTATTTATGTGAAACTGTTGTAGTCACAGATTTGGTACATTACACCCTTGCTACTTTTTAAAAAGGCTGAAATTCAGTTTTTTCCTTTATAGATTTTATGAAAATTGAGGGTGTTGTTTAATAGAACAAAAAAAGTGATGTTTTCTATAAAAGAATAAGGAACAGAGTTATGTTAGAGTGATTTTCAGTTTCAGCGCCTTTGTTGAAGATCCTTCCCTGGTTCCTTAGTATTTAAAACTGAGTTTCTGTGCCAGCCTTCCTTTTAGCTCTCAGTATCTCTAGTGTCTGCCTCCAGTGTATCCTCAGTGGGTCTAACTTGCCTGTCACGGGTCTTCCCCACCTGCACCTTAGTTGTGCTTTGCTCAGAGTAGCAGCCTGGTAATATTGTTTATTTTTTGTTGTTGTTCCTCATTTCTCCATTTCATCAGTCTCACACTCTCTTCTTTGCTTTTTGTGGGGCTCTGTCTTTGCTGGTTCAGGATTTTGGGAAGCTACTCTTGACCAACATACTGCCAGTTAAACCTTGGTAGGAGAAGTGATCAGACTGTGAAACTGGGTGGTGGGATGCCTATGTTCTTCTGTACCCATCTGTTGCTTGTTGGCATGATTCTGAGGGGTTACTTTTCTTGCTGTTTATTTCTCACAAAGGTTTCTTTTCCTTTTTTTTTTTTTTTTTGAGATGGTGTTTCACTCTTGTTGCCCAGGCAGTGGCGTAGTCTTGGCTCACTGCAATCTCTGCCTCCTGGGTTCAAGCAATTCTCTTGCCTTAGCCTCCCGAGTAGCTGGGATTACAGGCACCCGCCACCATGCCTGGCTAATTTTTTGTACTTTTAGTAGAGATGGGGTTTCACCATGTTGGCCAGGCTGGTCTTGAACTCCTGGCCTCAGGGGAATCAGCCCGCCTTGGCCTCCCAAAATGCTAGGATTGCAGGCGTTAGTCACTGCGCCCGGCCGGAAGCACAGTTTTTGAGAAATATAAAGCAGGAGTCTAGCACTCTTGCTATATGGTGTAGTGAGTGTTACTAAAAATATTTTGACTTGAGAATAGTGAAAGGTGAAAAAAATACAAAGCCAATAGAATGTCTATTCAAGTATAGTCAAATTTAAATATAAAAAACACAAAACACAAAATTAATTTTTGAAATGTGTTTTTGTTAAAATATTTAACCCAATTCACTCCTAGAACTTCAATTTCACATTAGGAATTGAGGTTAGTAAACTGAAGAATATTAGTGAGATTTATATGTTTTATATTTTATGCATATATAATTTACATACAATAAAACACAAAGCTTTTAACTGTGTAGTTTGGTGAGTTTTGACCAGAATATACACTATATTTACAAAACAGGCCCACTATTATGCCTATTCTGAAACGCTTTGGAAACCTGGGATACTGCTAGTGCCAGAACACTTTTAAAACTAGTAATTCCTTGATTCTCACTGCTCAGCACTGCATGTGTGGTACCCAGTGTCGCACCATGGATGTTCTTAGACCTTGGTGGGATTGGTGGTGATAGTAGGTGGTACTCAAAATATGCTTTGATTCTGATTTTTTTTTTTTTTTAATGGGGTTTCGCTCTTATTTCCCAGGCTGGAGTGCAGTGGCACGATCTCAGCTCACTGAAACCAGTTCAAGCAGTTCTCCTGCCTCAGCCTCCCCAAATAACTGGGATCACAGGCATGCACCACCACACCCAGCTAATTTTTTATTTTTAGTAGAAATGGGGTTTCACCAGGTTGGTCAACCTGGTCTCAAACTCCTGACATCAAATGATCCACCTACCTCAGCCTTCCAGAGTGCTGGGATTACAGGTGTGAGCCACTACACCCAGTCTTCATCTTTTAATTTTCTTAGTCGTTTTATGTTCTGGCCTGGAACCCTTTCAAACCACATAGAACTGTAGACTTATTGGTTGGAACTCTTGAAAAATGTTTTCTTTTTTTTTTTGAGACGGAATCTTACTCAGTCACCCAGGCTGGAGTGCAGTGGTGCGATCTTGGCTCACTGCAAGCTCCGCCTCCCGGGTTCACACTATTCTCCTGCCTCAGCCTCCTGAGTAGCTGGGACTACAGGCGCCCACCACCACGCCTGGCTAATTTTTTGTATTTTTAGTAGAGACAGGGTTTTACCGTGTTAGCCAGGATGGTCTCAATCTTCTGACCTCATGATCTGCTTGCCTCAGCCTCCCAGAGTACTGGGATTACAGGCGTGAGCCACCGTGCCTGGCCGGAACTCTTGAAATTTTTATTCGCTGGGCACAGTGGTTCATTCCTGTAATCCCAGCACTTTGGGAGGCCAAGGTGGGCTGATCCCTTGAGCCTAGGAGTTCAAGACCAGCCTGGGCAACATGGAAAAACCCTGTCACTACTTTAAAAAAAAAAAGAAAGAAAGAAAAGAAATTAGTCCGGCATAGTGTTACACGGCCTGTAGTCCCAGCTCCCTAGGAGGCTGAGCCCGGGAGATTGAGGCTGGAGTGAGCTATGATTGTGCCCCTACAGTGTAGCCTAGGTGACAGTAAGACCCTGTCTCAAAAACAGAAAAAATAAAACATAAAATTTTTATTTTAAGGAGTATAGTTTTGAAGAATAAGAGAAAGGAATAATGATAGGTACTAGTACCTGGCCGTTTTCAAGTCAGTCAGTGATTTGTTTTCTGTGACCTTAGGTACATCATCTCCCCTCTCATGACCTCAGTTTCTTTTTGCCGGCAAAGGAAAGTAATACCAGTTTTTCTTCAGGGGGCATGAATAACATTGTGTGAGTAAATGCGATACGTATAAGTTCTTTCACAGTCATTAAGTAAGATAGCCTCTGTTGGATGGGGACACAGTGACAAGTGGCTCTGACCAAGGGACTAATGTGCTAGACACTAAGGTTTTGACTGCCAGTCCCCAACCATGTGATCAGGTGCCAGAGGAGACCAGGAACCTTTCAGTTCCCCTTCTCCATTGCTTAGCTTGTTCAGAGTAATTCCGGAATGTGATGTGTTCTCTCATTTTTTCTTCAGGTAGAATGGAAGAATCTCACTTCAATTCTAACCCATACTTCTGGCCTTCTATCCCCACAGTCTCAGGTCAGGTAAGTGGTGTTGCTTTCTTGCTCTCCCCAACTCTCAGTAGCAAGTTCTGTTACTGTGGAGACTGAAGGTCCACCACGTGCTGTTTTCCTTCGTCCCCCACCGCTGAGCATTATCTAGTGTTTCTGCCTTGGCTTCTCTCTAGAAGGCCAAAGGTATGAAGTACTCATCCTTGATCCCTAAGGCGGACAGACACTGAAATGTGCTCACGAGCAAGCAGAATCAACCTCAGTCTGAAGAGGGTGCTCCCTTCCCCTTCCTTTTCTCTTAGATTGAGAACACAATGTTCATCAACAAGATGAAGGATCAGCTGTTGCCAGAGAAGGGCTGTGGTCTGGCTCCACCTCACTACCCCACCTTGCTGACAGTGCCTGCCTCAGTGTCCCTGCCCTCGGGCATCAGTATGGACACAGAGTCCAAGTCAGACCAGCTGACCCCACACAGCCAAGCATCCGTTACCCAGAATATCACGGTGGTCCCTGTGCCGTCTACAGGACTGATGACTGCTGGTGAGCAACTCTGCTCTTCTCCAATCTGAGGTGTTGATCCTCCATGATCAGTACCCCAGGCTGGGGGGCTCCACGGACATGGGGAGTGGGATATGTGTTTGATTACTCAATCACATTTTTATTAAGTGCCTACTGTGTGCCTAGCAATGTGCTAGGCATTGTGGGGGATACAAAGAAGTAGAAGATGCGGTCCCTGCCTTTGAGGAGGTGACATTCTTTCCTTCTCTGAATCAAGGAGTCTCCTGTTCTCAGAGGTGGAGAAGAGAAGGGAGTCAATCAAGGGGTAAATCTCACTGTTACCAGGGGGGTGGGGACAAGGGTTAGGAGACCATTATTTTTCTACAGGGTTTGGGGTTTCCTATGTACTCTGGGTTGGGTTGGCGGGGGGTGAGGGGTTAATTAGACAATGATGTGGGGGAAATGAAATAGGGTTAGGATCAGAACTGAACAACATGACGCCATCTCCTTTTTCTCCCAATCCTAGGTCCGGGTTTGGTAATCACGTCCCCCTCAGGCTCTCTTGTGACCACAGCATCATCAGCTCAGACCTTCCCCATTTCGGCTCCCATGATTGTCTCAGCTCTTCCCCCTGGCTCACAAGCCCTGCAGGTTGTCCCTGACCTCTCCAAGAAGGTAGCATCGACCCTAACCGAGGAAGGAGGTGGAGGTGGTGGTGGAGGTGGCAGTGTGGCTCCTAAGCCGCCCCGGGGCCGGAAGAAGAAGCGGATGCTGGAATCAGGGCTGCCTGAGATGAATGACCCTTATGTCCTCTCCCCTGAGGATGATGATGACCATCAGAAAGACGGCAAGACCTACAGGTAAGACTCAGAGCCAGGGGCAGGATGAGGCGAGGATGCCTAGCTTGGTGATTCTCCCTGTACCCTCATTGTGTTCTGCCCCAGTCAGGTGCTACACTCTGACAGCTTCCCAGCTCTGAGCCACTTGCATGTCAGGTGTCCCGTCATAGGATAGGAGGCAGAGCTGCTAGCATCTTGTTAGGATGCAGAGACCCATTTCACCCTTTCCTCTTTTTAACCCTTGTTTTGGGGGTCGTTAACACTGACTTATTTTTTAGTAACAAAGTAGAATCTCTCTTGTAACGCGGCTTTATGCTGGGTTTGACACTCTTGTCTGTAGCTCCTTTTCGCTTTCTACATATTCCATTCCTATTTTTCTAAGAATCTTTTCTGGTAAGCACCTCACCTATGTGCCATTCACCAGTTCCTGGGTCATATTTGAACACTGAGCCTGCCTCACCCTGCATGGTTGGGATGATGGGAGGGGCTTTCATAAGAAGGCAGGAGGAATAGGATGCCTCCCCCTTTGGAGTGTAGACTTATAGAATGACTTTGCTCGCTTTCTGATTTATGAAAGTCATTTTGATTCTCCACTTCCTCTAAGTTTGCCTTTATCAAAAAGCATTATATGCATATTTGCATGTGATACTATATAAAAATAATTACGTAAGTAAACTCCCTGCCCTTTGAAAGTTGAACATCTTTTAATCCCTTTGAGAACTGTCACATGCCCTAGTGGGTTTGGGGAGTTTGGTAGCACCGTATAGAGTGGGATAACTACTGTCACAGCTTTGATATAGACGGGCAGATGTGCATGGCTGGGAGTCTGGGTCTGTCCTTAGTTCCTTAGTGTACCCAGATGGGCAATGTTGTTCCCATTTTAGGAGCGAAGGGAACTGCGGCACAGGAAATGGACAGAGCCTTGGGCTCATGGATTCAGTTCCCGGCTCCACCACGAATTTGCTGTGTGACCCTGGGCAAGTCCTTTTCCCCTCTCTGGGCCTCAGTTTCCTCATCTGTAAAATGGGGATAATTCTGTTTATGCCTCCCATTTGTTGGGAGTATATATCAGATAAGATGTGAAATGTTGGGAACTTCAAAAGAAAGTTAAGAAATAGTTACTTAGCATTTATTTTTATTTGTGTTGTATAGTTCTACTGTGGAGAGTAGCCTACAGAGTGTTTAAATCGCTCTTTATAAGTGAAAATGAGAGAAGTGTTGCTATGCAGAATTGAGCACTGCAGAATTCCAGCTCATAATCCAAAAGTTCATTGCAGCTTTATTATTACAGGTGTACCCCACTTTATACAATAAAAGTGTTCCTGGAAAATGTTTCCATCATATCATATTATAAAGGTACCTGACAAGTTTGATTCATTTAAAGGCATTCTTTTATATATCAGTTCATAAAATTAAAATCCCTTTTAAGTTATCGTATAGAAATCTGGATTCTTATGTGTTTGTTTAAAGTGAGGCCATTGTGACATGGAGATACATCTATATACAATTTGTAGAAGTAGTGGAAGTATCCTTTAACATCCTATAGAGAGAGCCCTTCTAATGGATCCAGGGTCCTCTCCTTCTGCCCTTTCTCCACTGGGACCCACATTAAAGCTATCTCTGGACTTTCCAAACTGTGTACATTAAAAGAAATGTGAATATACAGTTGGAAGAAAGCCTCATAGGACTTTCCACACATTCAGTATTTTTGAAATTCCTGAATGACCCTCCACCCAGGTGACTACAAAGAACTCTGAAATTGAAGGGAGACTTACTGTATCCTAGGTAAACAGAATTTCTTCAGAAACTCAGAACTCTTGACGTTCCAAAGAATTTTTTTTTTTTTTTTGAGACGGAGTCTCACTCTGTCGCCCAGGCTGGAGTGCCGTGGCACAATCTCAACTCACTCTAACTTCCACCACCCGGGTTCAAGTGATTCTTGTACCTCAGCCTCCCAAGTAGCTGGGACTACAGGCTCGCCACCATGCCCAGCTAATTCTTTTGTATTTTTAGTAGAAACAGGGTTTCACCATGTTGGCCAGGCTGGTCTCAGACTCCTGACCTCAGGTGATCTGCCTGCCTCGGCCTCCCAAAGTACTGGGATTATAGGCGTGAGCCACTGTGCCTGGCAAAAGAAATCTTTTTAATCACAATGAATTTCTATTTTGATGCATGTGTGGGTCAGCCATATCCATTTCAGTGGTCAGTAGCATTTGACTGGGTATTTGGGGAATTGGGTTCTGTTACTCTGGGCAAGTCAACATATCTCCCACTCTTCATTCCCATATATAAAATGGGAAGATCAACCATGCCTTCATCTACCTTGTAGAAATGTTTTGAGGCAAAGTCAGAATATCTGAAATTGTTTTGAGCATTTTAGGAAGCATGGATGATAATTCAGTGGCCATTGTAATCATTATAATCAAGGCCGTTGCATTGTATGCTTCCGAGGGGGCCCCGTTCTCATTGTGCTGGATGTGAATGGTGCCCCTGGAGGAATGCACCCAGTGATATGGATGCTGGCTTTTCTATCCTCTGCTGACTGCCACAACTCTCCGAAATTAAATTTCTTTCCAACCACCCAGCATCTTGCATTAGAGGACTCTCTTATTTGACGTCATAGGATTTTCAACTTGGAAATATTTTAATGATCTCCTTGGTCAGTCCCTTCCTGGCAGATGATTCCAATCTCTGCTTGAATACCTCTGGTGTTAGGAATCTTAAAGTAGGCTGGCATCATGGCTTTGTAGTGAATAACTGCCCTTTGGCAAATTACTTTCTGAGTCTTTGTGTTCCTTTCTGTAAAACATGGGTAAGACTTGCCAGGTTGTGAGGAGTAGAAACTGTGTGTCTGAAGTGCCTAACCTAGTGCCTGGCACTGTCAGGCCTAACAACAAATGGCAACTATTATCATTGTGCTCATCATCTTTATTATACCTAGTGTATTCTGAGATTGCTCATTCCCTTGCCAGCACATTATAAATGAATTTAAGTTTTGCAAGTTCTCTTATTGGAAACTTTGATTAAGTGGGTTATTATTATTTTTTAAAATTAACCTTAATGTTAAGGGCAGAATTGTTGATTGAACACCCTCACACACAAATTGATGAGATTTTATTTGGGTTAAAATAAATATGTTTTACCTGTCTGAGAAATTGTAGCATCAAAGGAAATTAGTTTGCAACTTTAGTACAGTTGCCCTTCAAGTGACAATGTGTCCAGCTTCTAACCTCAGTCTTAGTGAAATATTTACTAGCATGAGCTCGTCCGTCAGCACTAAGGCTTAAGATGAATGCAGTTTTATTACTGGAGAATACTTGGCTTACCTTTGACTGTCCTAGGTGTTTGCTGGCCCTTCTGGGGCAAAAGTTTAGTTCTCCATTTTACACACCGGAAAATTGAGGTGTATTAATGAGCAAGTTTGTAACTGAACCCCGAGTAGAAGCCAGGCATCCCGATTCCCACTGCTTGTGTCCTTTGGGTTATGCTCACTATAAACAGAGCCTCCTCGTCTCCTGCAATGATTGGGCATCTCAGACAACTGCCAGGGATCAATAATCTGGTAACTAAAAAATTCTCCTGAGGTGAAAAAAGTGCAGAAATCATCACCCCACACCACCTGAAGCCTCTCTTAAGAAGATAAGTTAGGGAGAACCCAAAGAAGAGGGACTTGTGCTAATTGCCTGGCTTCCAGGCCATTGCCTTTTCTACTAGCTCCCATTTTACACTGGTGAATTGCTTACGAAAATGAAAGATGGCTTTTACTCAGTCAAGTTTGGATAGTCGTGGCTTAACTTGCTCAGAGGCCTCCTTATTTGACATTTGGTGGACAATACCAGAGTGGAAAGGATTGCCAACTTGGGATGAGTGAAAGTATGATCAGGTGCTGCTGATGTCAGCCCAGAGTGCTGACACTGGCTGCATGTGCTAGGGAAGAGGAAAGGTTTAGCTTCGAAGATAGGTGTTCTGTAAACATTTTTCTCCCAAATGCTTGAGGGATGGCACCTTCCCCTAGCAGCTACCTTGGTCATTGCAAAAGTGGTTTTCACTTGATTGTCAAGGGGCTATGGGCAAGGGGTGGGTAGATGATGGATGGAACATCAGATAAGAGGGTGGAGAGCAGACATACATGGTTTGAAAAAGCCCCTCCAAATAATTCTGATACTTCCTCACCCCCATCCCTCTAGAAATCACTGCCAAAAAGGAAGTAGGGGACAATCTGAGGGAAGAAAATTATCTGTGGAGGCAAGAGAGGATCTAGTTAGTTGTTCCTCATTATCATCTAGGGGTCTTGAGAAATACAGAGGCATGTACTTCATACACAGGAACATTAGAGAAAGGAATTCCTTAAATGTTTGAAATCAAGCTGTAGACAGAAGGAAAACAAGTTAACTGATATTCCTGGCCCATTGAAATTTGCATCTAGGCTGGGCACGGTGGCTCAAGCCTGTAATCCCAGCACTTTGGGAGGCCGAGACGGGCGGATCACGAGGTCAGGAGATCGAGACCATCCTGGCGAACACAGTGAAACCCCGTCTCTACTAAAAAGTACAAAAAAACTAGCTGGGCGAGGTGGCGGGCGCCTGTAGTCCCAGCTATTCGGGAGGCTGAGGCAGGAGAATGGCGTGAACCCGGGAGGCGGAGCTTGCAGTGAGCTGAGATCCGGCCACTGCACTCCAGCCTACACAACAGAGCGAGACTCCGTCTCAAAAAAAAAAAAAAAAGAAAGAAATTTGCTTCTGCCCGGAGTTCATACTGTTACTCTGTTTTATCTGGTTGAAATACATTTTTGCACATCGAGGCAGTCCAGTCATTCAGCAAACATTCATTGAATATTTATAATGTGCTGGGCACCATGTTAGACGCTTAGGCCATGAAGATGAATACAGAGAGCCCTACTCTCAGGTTGGAGTAGGAGAGAGCTCAGATAGGTGGGCTTCTCTTGGACGTAGAGGGGAGGGTTCAGCCATACCTTCTTGATGGGAAGGGTTCTAACCATTGCCCTCACTTGGCTCAGGTGCCGGATGTGCTCACTGACATTCTACTCCAAGTCGGAGATGCAGATCCACTCCAAGTCACACACCGAGACCAAGCCCCACAAGTGCCCACATTGCTCCAAGACCTTCGCCAACAGCTCCTACCTGGCCCAGCACATCCGTATACACTCAGGGGCTAAGCCCTACAGTTGTAACTTCTGTGAGAAATCCTTCCGCCAGCTCTCCCACCTTCAGCAGCACACCCGGTAAGGCTGCTCTTGGTTTACCCCACCACCTGGCCGTGAACCCTAAGGCCATGTTACCTGCACCTACTCCTCCATATGTATTTTTTTTTCCCTTTCACCTTTGCCCATTGGTAGCCTCAACCTCCTATTACTGTCTGTGGAAATTATATATCCTAGCTCTTTGGGGGGCCTTGAAAATTGTGGTCTCCAATTCCAAAGTCTGGAACAATTTTTGTGGTTTCTCTCTGTGTCTGTGTTTGGAAATCTTCTGCAGAGCAGGCCTGCTTTTACTATATGCTTCAGTTCAGAGCCAAGGTGTGCATTCAACTTCAGGTCCATGGGGAACAGGCGGTATTGGTCTTTGTTCAAATTACTATTTGGAAGCAGGGTATCTGTGGTGAGTGTGTTAACCTTAGGAAAAAGCGGAGGGTTGATGAGATTGACTACTTTAAGGTTACCAGGAGCCATGGGTTGCAGCTCTTCATCATCTCACTGCCATTCTAGCCACCGACTTACGATCAGCAACAACCTAGATCTGGGTGTCCTCTTCATTTGCCTATCCAGGCTGGAGTGCTTTTGGGAGGAGGGAGGAAGGGGGTGCTCTCATCCGTCAAGCAACATCATTTCACCCAGCAGAGAGCTGAGCCCCTGGTGTCGAACTGCTTCCTCCTCCCCCCTTCCCTCCTCTCCTCTCCGGCAGGATCCACTCCAAGATGCACACGGAGACCATCAAGCCCCACAAGTGCCCGCACTGCTCCAAGACCTTCGCCAACACCTCCTACCTGGCCCAGCACCTCCGTATCCACTCGGGGGCCAAGCCCTACAACTGTTCCTACTGCCAGAAGGCCTTCCGCCAGCTCTCCCACCTCCAGCAGCACACACGGTAAGGGAGAGTGGCGGGCTACTGACCCCGCCCCGCTGGCATGCCCTCCCCACCCCCGCCCCGGACACACACAACAACCCGCATGCGGGGGGCGGGGGAGAGACCTGGCTGGAGGAGAGACCTGGCTGGCATCTGGGAGAAGGAAGACCAAACACCACTGGAGATTCAAGTGGACACAGAGAGAGCCTCTCTGGGGCAAGAGCTACATCGGGGAGCTGCAGTGACTGTATGATATTCACTGGCCCATGGGAGACAGACACGTACCTGGAGTGGAAACAACTTTTCTCTTATTTTCCTCCCTGAAAATACTCATGTACCCGTCTTGCAAGATTTGCCCCTTGATGCCAAAAAGAGTCATTTGAGTGGAGAAGACCGTACCTCTAGCCCTTAGGGCACCAATTATGAACAGAAGATAAAATCAGACATTAGCTGGGCACCAGCCTGGTGACACCCACAGCAACAAGCAAGGCTCCGAGGGATGCCAAGAGTAGAGAACAAAAGAAAACATGTACTAAATGTTCAGAGAGAATCAGCAAACAGAAAATGAAAAACCTCATGCTTCGTAAAGATGCCCGCCCAGTGTTTATCCCGTGAATCTGGAGTGACTAGGAAGAAGTGAACCTGCCAACTAGAAGAGGTGATGATCTCCTTCGGTGCTATCTCAAGTTGGAGTCCAGACTTACAGGCCATAGACCGTCTCACCCGGCTTCTTGTGGATGTGATGATCTCAAAGTGATCAGGCATCTTGCTTTGAGAAGAGGAGGGGAGGAATCAGGCTTTCTTCACAAAGAAGAGACGTGTCCTGTGACGTTTTTGAGATTTTATACCAGAGGTCCAGAAAAGCACCTGGTCATGGAGATGGTTCTGAAGTTGCTGATGAGGAGCGGGTGTCACTGCACCCTTAAGTCCTTGGCTCATCTTAGCAGAGGGCCCTGTGGTGTTGGGGAAAGAGGTCACATTGGTACTAAACTAGGCATTTCCTGCCATTAGGGGGCTGGACTGCAAAAAGCACTTAGAAGTTTTAATGAGTTTCCATTCATATCACTACTACTCTCCACAATCAGTGTAACTCTGCTTTTCTTTGATACCATAACATTCTCTGGAAGTGATGCTCAAGGCTGAGGGGACTGTTTCTGGCTATAAGGTGGGACCAAGGAAGACGCGTTGGGCTTTTCTTTTTCCTTGCCATTGTGTTTTTCTTATGTTCTTGAATGTTCGTTAGGACAGTTACTGTAGGAGCTGAGTTGTATGCCAAATTGTGGGCTGCCTGTCCCTTGGGTGCCAAGTCCTCAGTCTCTCCTCCCCCAGCAGAGAGGAGCCTCAGCTTGAGCTGAGTGATGCAGGCATTGACCAGAAGCAAAGCGTTAGTACCTGATCCACATCAGAGAGGAAAGCTGGTGCCTCTTGGAGGCCCATCTGATGTGCCTCCTTAGGAGAGCAGGATTGACCTGGAGAAAACTTGTTGAGCCAGTTCCTAAGTGGTCTTGCTGACATTCTTTCCCTTTTTTCTCATCCTGTGCAGAATCCACACTGGTGATAGACCATACAAATGTGCACACCCAGGCTGTGAGAAAGCCTTCACACAACTCTCCAATCTGCAGGTAAATGTTCCACCCTCCACACAGACCTTGAGTCTGAGACTTGGGGCCATTTGAATAGTATAGTGGTTCTCAAATGTTTTCAGGACTCTTTTACACTCAAAAATTATCGAGGGACCCAGAGAGTTTTTGTTTATGTGGGTAATAGCTATCTACATAGAGGCTGTAAAACTGAAAAACCTGAAAAATATTTATAATGGTAATCTGTTTAGAAAGAACAAAAACCCATTGTGTGTTAACATGAATAACATATTCCAAGACCCTCCAAAAACAACTGAGTGAGAAGAATGGCATGATTATACATTTTTGCAGGTGTCTATTTTTAATTTTGGGGACAGGACCTTGCTCTGTCACCCAGGCTGAGTGCAGTGGTGTGATCACGGCCCACTGCAGCCTCAGCCTCCCGGTCTCAAGTGATCCTTTCACCTCAGCCTCCCAAGTAGCTGGGATTATAGGCATGCACCACCACACCTGGCTGGTTTTTTAATTTTTGTAGAGATGGGGGTCTTGCTGTCTTGCCTAGGTTGGTCTCGAACTCCTGGACAGAGGCCATCCTCCCGCCTCAGCCTCCCCAAAGTGCTGGGATTGCAGGCATGAGTCATCGCACCTGGCACAGGGATCTTTAATGTCTTAAGCTAGAAGATGAGTAGATTCTCATATCTGCTGCATCTGGCCTATTGTGTTGTCACACATCATGTAACCTCTGTAAAGGTTACATGTAAAACATATGGCAAAGTGAAGCCACTTGAAATTTTGAGGGAAGCAAGATTTCAGTTCGGTTTTTCATTTTGTGTGTGTGTGTGTGTGTGTGTTTGAGACAGGCTCGCTCTGTCACCTAGACTGGAGTGCAATGATACGATCTCAGCTCACTGCAGCTTCCACTTCCCGGGTTCAAGAGAGACAAAGGCACAAACATTGTCTTATTATTTTGAAAAGATTTGGCTGGGCGCAGTGGCTCACACCTGCAATCTCAACACTTTGGGAGGCCGAGGCGGGCGGATCACCTGAGCTCAGGAGTTCGAGACCAGCCTGGCCAACACGGTGAAACTTCGTCTCTACTAAAAATACAAAAAAAAATTAGCCGGGCATGGTGGCATGTGCCTGTAGTCCCAGCTACTTGCAGGGTGAGGCAGGAGAATCGCTTGAACCCAGGAAGCAGAGGTTGCAGTGAACCAAGATTGCACCACTGCACTCCAACCTGAACGACAAAGTGAGACTCCATCTAAAAAAAAGAAAAAAGAGTTTTGATCCTGTGGGCCCCCTGCGAAGATCTTAGTGTTCCCTAAAGATCCCCGTGCCTCACTTTAAGAACTACTGGACTGGTGAGACGGGCATAAGCTGTCTTGGGATCCTGGTATGTGCTACATGAGGTATGCTTCCACCCTTAGCCTGTAGCTTCTCAAGTTTCATTTGAAACAATTTCTACTTTCTTCAGATGGAGAGAGAAGCTGGGAGGCCTGACACCTACCTTTTTGCTTTCCATCAAGGTCAAGGGGGCAGGAGGGAAGAGGACAATGTATTCATTCTGGTTTCTCCCAATTTTCTCAGTCCCACAGACGGCAACACAACAAAGATAAACCCTTCAAGTGCCACAACTGTCATCGGGCGTACACGGATGCAGCCTCACTAGAGGTGCACCTGTCTACGCACACAGTGAAGCATGCCAAGGTGTACACCTGCACTATCTGCAGTCGGGCATACACATCAGTGAGTGCTCCATTTCTTCTCTTTCCTTCCTGATAGTCCTCTAAGAGTACAGTCCACTTCATCCCATTTTCTGGGTAGAGATCTGTTGCAGCGAATACCCTGCCTCCCTAGCTCCAACTTAGCAGAACAAGTAAATGTTCAGAAATTAATTAGACCCATAGCCGAGGAATTTAGGGGATGCCTGATCCCCTAATCCTATAGAGATTGATAAACTGTAATTCTTCATTTTACTTAAACATAAGGCAAAATAAAGCCACTTGAAATTTTGAGGGGAGCAAGATTTCAGTTAGGTATTTTCTTCCTTTTTTTTTTTTTTTGAGACAGTGTCTTGCCTTGTCACTCAGGCTGGAGTGCAGTGGTGTGATCTCGGCTCACTGCAACCTCCACCTCCTGGGTTCAAGCGATTCTCCTGCGTCAGCCTCCTGAGTAGCTGGGATTACAGGTGCATGTCCCCTCGCCCAGTAAATTTTTGTATTTTTAGTAGAGACGGGGTTTCACCATGTTGCCCAGGCTGGTCTCAAACTCCTGACCTCAAGTGATCCACCTGCCTTGGCCTCCCAAAGTGCTGGGATTACAGGCATGAGTCACCACACCTGGCCCAGTTAGATATTTTCTATGAGACTCCAGGAAAGGTTGTAAGGTTGTTTCATTCAGGGGTCTTCGAAAAAAATAGCAGCTCATTCCTTTGCCAGTTGAATGTTCACTGACTTCTAAAGGTTCCCCTCTCTTTTTTTTCTCAGTAGTGAGCCACTGAAAGTCTTACTTGAGTTTTGCTCAGTCTTGGCTCCAGAAAACCAGTATAAACCTTAACTCTAGCAGAATCAGAGCCTAGGGTGCTAGTTACAAGTAATCTCTTTTCCTTCTTCTTCATCCCTCAACTTCTTTTTACCATCTCCCTCAGGAAACATACCTTATGAAACATATGCGCAAACACAACCCTCCTGATCTTCAGCAACAAGTGCAGGCAGCAGCGGCGGCGGCAGCAGTGGCCCAGGCCCAGGCGCAGGCCCAGGCTCAAGCTCAAGCGCAAGCCCAGGCTCAGGCTCAGGCTCAGGCTCAGGCCCAGGCCCAGGCCCAGGCCTCCCAGGCATCACAGCAGCAGCAGCAGCAGCAGCAACAGCCACCACCACACTTCCAGTCTCCTGGGGCAGCCCCCCAGGGTGGGGGTGGTGGGGACAGCAACCCCAATCCTCCACCCCAGTGTTCCTTTGACCTGACCCCCTATAAGACGGCGGAGCATCATAAGGACATCTGCCTCACTGTCACCACCAGCACCATCCAGGTGGAGCACCTGGCCAGCTCTTAGAGATCCGTGCTGCCACCCACTGGGAAGAGGAAGAAGTAGTCCTGGTTTCTTCTTTCTCCAACTCCTCTTGGTGGGAAAAGTCCTCTTCTTCACAGGCCTTGGCTCCATCTCCCTGGGCCTCAGGCACAGCTTTCCTTCACAGGATACCATCCTTTTTCTGAACTCTTCAAAAGGAACATCAGCCCTCCTGATTGCAAAGGAATACTGAGCTGATGGTGTCATCCAGCAGCCTCCCCTCCCAAGCAAAGCTTTTAAAATTGGGGGTTGGTGCTCAAGGGAAGGATTTGCTATGACCTCATAGAAACTTGTCCAGTGTGGTCACTTACCCTATCCTTACCCTCCTTATCCTCAAAGTTTGGGTTGATAGAAGACTAGAGGCTGGCCCTCCCAGATAACAGAGAAAAGGGAGCCCCAAATGCAACCAGCCTCTTGTTCTATTCTTGCCTGCAAAAGAACAGAGGTTTCTCAGTTGCCTCAGTCCCTGAGAGCCATTTCTTCCCCTGCATCGTCTCACTTCACTTCCTGTTGACTGCTGGTAGAAGATTTGGGGTAGGGGACAGACCTCCTTTTATTTGAAGGGGGCAAGGGCTGAGATGTGGTCCCCAAGGGGCCAGAAATTCCCAAGTTGGTCACAGGTGGCTTAGAAGTGTGGGTTATGGTTTTAGGGATTTCCTTGGAGCCTCTCTCCTTCTCTGCCTACACAGACCCTATGCTCTCAGTCTCCCCAACCCACCCCCCAAGGAGCTGTGGGAGGCTTTGTGTTATCTGTGAAACTCCAAAACAGGGGTGTTGCGGAGAAGGGAGAGTTCAAGGCAAACACAAGGACTGGACTTAGCTCCCTAGGTGCCACGGTCAGATGCCGGACACGGATTTATATATAAATATATATATATAAATATATTATACCCACTCATCACGGCCATCTTTGTTGTAACCATTTCTGTGTTTATAAATGCATTATCTCTGAGAATTTTCATATTTGATGTTTTGTTTATTTTTGTCCTTTTTTTCCCTCCACCCCTGTCCTCCAGCCACAGCATTTTTTTTTTTGTCTTTTTTTTTTTTTTTTTTTAATCATGGCAGATTTCAGAGAAAAGGAAATTTAAAAAAAAAATCAGGAAACCAGTTGTTATAAAGCAATCTAAAAATGAAGAAAAAAAAAAAAGAAAAAACCTTATGTACAAACCAAGGGGTGTTTTTAGAACATTGTATAGAAATAAATTCATGTAAAAGGATCAGAGGCAGTGGAGCTACTGATGTGAGCGAGCATGCGGAAAAGGCATTTGGGGAGATGTCCAAGAATAGTATTTATAAAGTGATTAATAGCAGAGTGTGTGTGTGATGAACGAGTGCCTGTGTGATGATGTCCCATGTGTGCAGTTCTCCAGTCATGGAAGGGTACAGTTTCATGACGTCTCCCGTGAATCCTGGTTGATGAGGACTTCTACATACACATTCTGTCACGGGGGATTGCATTTCCTAAATAGGTGAGAGCAAGGCTTTGGTTATGTGTTAACCCAACAGCTCAGCTCCCTATGGAAGAAAAATGGAAGCCTCTTGGAAGGATCCACACTCCTGCCTGAGTCTGGAGTAGGGGCTTGCAGTTGGCAGTGTATCCATATGTATGTTTATTGACTTGTGGAAATCATAACCGGTTAAGGGGCGCAAGATTGGTTTATGCAGAAGAGCTGTAGTACTGTGGAGTAGAATGTGGTCATGAAACCTGGACTTAAGCCCTTTGCCTACCATCAACCAGTGGTGACCAGGGTGCTTCTTCAACTGTTAGTGAAGGGATTGGACTAGATAACTCTCAAGATACCTTTTTTGAGAATTAAGGAGCTTGCTTTAAGGCTGGGTGCGGTGGCTCACACCTGTAATCCCAGCATTTTGGGAGGCCGAGGCAGGCAGATCACTTGAGGTCAGGAGTTCAAGACCAGCCTGGCCATTGTGGTGAAACCCCATCTCTACTAAAAATACAAAAAAAAATGATCTGGGCATAGTGGTGGGCATCTACAATCTCAGCTACTCAGGCTGAAGCAGGAGGATCTTTTGAACCCAGGAGGCAGAGGTTGCAGTGAGCGAAGATCATGCCACTACACTCCAGCCTGGGCGACAGAGTGAGACTGTCTCAAAAAAATAAAAATACAAAAATTAGCCAGGTGTGGTGGCACACGCCTGTAGTCCCAGCTACAGGCTGAGGCAGAAGAATCACTTGAACCTGGGAGGCAGAGGTTGCAGTGATCTGGGATCGCACCACTGCACTCCAGGCCGGGCCACAGAGTGAGATTCTGTCTGGAAAAAAAAAAGAAAAGAAAACCTTGCTTTAAGCACTGAAAAAGTGAAAGTTGTGACCAAGCTCCCACATCCCGAGAACTGGTGGTTCTCTGGGACTGCTGGCCAATAGTACTTGTTACCTAGTTGGGCTGGGATAAATAAAGCACACTTAATTTAGTGCTAGATATCCTGTGTGGGCACCTAAGGTGGTCTATCAATATGTTGTGTAATACCAATGAATGTATCACATATGACCAAATATGCCACTGTTTCTTAGCTCCCTGGATATTTACTTGTTTTTCCTCCCACTCTCAACAGCTCTTGAAAAGGCTCTAATGTCCCTAACTTCACCAGTATTAAAACTTATTGCAACAACCCTATGAGGTAGGTAGTATTCTCACTGTATAGTAAAACAGGCACAGAGATTAAATTACTTACCGAAAAGCATGACTCTTGTAATGAGAGCAAAATTTCCTGGATTCTATTGCTGTATCTTACTACCTGCACACTAGTAAACCTGGGGTTTAAGGACTACAGATCCTCTCAGCCCTGATACCCCCACCACTCTACAGCCCCTGACCCCTTTCTCTAGCCTGCTATTACTGTCCAGATAATGTTTCAGATACATTCCTGCAGCCATCTCAAAACAAAACAAAGCAACTTCCAATCCGCCCCGGGTTGGAAGTTCCTCTTCTTCATGTATTTGGTAGAAATTATATAGCTGAAAGTCTGTCTCATTAAAAACTTGACATAAGACATTGATAATTCTTATGAAGGATGTGTGAGGGTATGAAAGGCGTGAGGGATGGTAGCTATCTCTAAGATGCTATCTTACTAACACCACTATTAAGTTATGGCCTTTGAGTTCTATTTGCCTAGTGTGTTGGCAGCCTCTCATACCCTTGACTGCTTTCCATTCTGATGAAAACCATAGAAATCACTCTACCATAGCTAACTAGAGTGATGGCTGGCAACTAGCTAGCCAACTAGCCCTGTAGTGATAGTGCTGCATCACTCGACCCCTTCAGAATTATGATGCTAACATCACATATAAACCAAAGAAAAACAAAAACATGAGGTTCCCCCTTAGAGAGTAGCAAGAGGTGCCAGGCACAGTGGCTCACGCCTGTAATCCCAGCACTTTGAGAGGCTGAGGAGGGCAGATCGCCTGAGGTCGGGATTTCAAGACCAGCCTGACCAACATGGAGAAACCCCGTCTCTACTAAAAATACAAAATTAGCCAGGCGTGATGGTGCATGCCTGTAATCCCAGCTACACGGGAGGCTGAGGCAGGAGAATCGCTTGAACCTGGGAGGTGGAGGTTGCGGAGAGCCATGATCACGCCATTGCACTCCAGCCTGGGCAACAAGAGTGAAAATTCTGTCTCAAAAAAAAAAAAGGAGCAAGAGGGCAACGTCAGAAATAATATTTTATATGTGAAAGTATTCGAGTGTAAAGTACAGGAGGTCTGACAAAAGATGTGCAGAATTATAGCATTATTGTCATTATTTGTATTTATAAGTAGAAAGTTGATAATTCTTCTCAAGCTAAAAAAAATAATGCTGGGGGAGATGGTGTTTGTGTGAGTGAAAAGAAATGCAAAGGGTTTAAATCTCAAGGCTTGATACTCTTCCCCAACTTCCTTAAGAAACTAACTGGCTTGAAAAAAGTCATATTCTGCAAAGAGGGGAAAAAAGCTGTATCTTCCAGTCGGTGAGAAGGGATGTTTACGCAATATAAGCCTAAAGTGAACAGTTACCCCTGCACCGATTGCCATACATTCCCGTTTTGGAGGGAAAAAAGTTTGCCCGATAATGCAAAATGGCGACCTTCAGTGACGTCATACCTGTCTCGGTCGCGTCCTGGGGTCTCTGTAAGGGCGGAAGCGGGCTACAGCTGCCTCACTATGGGCGGTCGTGGCTACCATGCAAAAGGAAAAGTTTGAGCGTCGGGCGGATGTGTACCAGCGGTAACATAGTAAGGGCGGAAGTTCTCCTTTTAAGGGCGGAAAGGCTTTAGCCCCAAAATGGCTTCGGACCCTGTCGCGTTATAGTCACTTCCGGGGCGGATCGGAAGTTGCTTTGTTTTGCTTCGAGATGGCTGCGGGGATGTATTTGGAACATTATCTGGACAGTAAGAGCAGGCTGGAGGTGGGGGTCGGGGCTGTAGAGTGGTGCGGGGATCAGGGATGAGAGGATCTGTAGCCCTTAAGTCCCAGTGACGAGAAGGTTACAATTGTGAGGGGGTTCTGTGGCAGGAAATATTGGAGGGTGCGGAGAAAGAGGGGGCGGGGCAGCAGGATGGAGGCCCCGCTGTTGGGGGTAGACGAGGGAGGGGCTGCGGTGTGGGGGTTAGGGACGTGTCTTGAAGGGCTAGTGTGCACGGCCGGGAAGATAATTGCTGCCCCCATTCTCCAGCGTCTCCAGCCTCAGGGTAGATTTTTTTCCTATAGTCGTTCAGAATCGTTATCACCCACTGCCTTTTGGAGCAGCGGTGAAGACCTCTCCTCCACCCCATTCTTCCTCAGAAGTGGCTTCTCGTGGGGTTGAGAGTGGTGGTGGTGAGTGACCACTGTCAGATGATGAGCTGGAACGCTTCTCTTCATGGAGTAAAGATCTAATTCCCATCAAATGAAAATCTGGTGTTATGCCATTTATGTAAACCACCCCTGCACAAAGCCTGTCGCCTTATGCGCTTACATTTGTTTTAGAGCCCGGAGTCATTTATTCAACAAATATTTATTGAGTTCCTACTATGGGTCAGACATAATGGCAGGCACTAGGGATAGAAAAATGGGTAAGACAAGGCCCCTGCCCTCAAGAAGCTCTCGATCTACAAGGAAACAGATTCTGCAAGTAATTGTAAAACACTGTGACAAGTGAAATAATGGAAATCCATTAAAAAGGACATTTGGTAGGCAACACTGGAGAAAAGGGGGGTAATTACCTGGCGATGTAGGAAAAGCTTTACAGAGGTGATGTTTGAATAGGGTCTTGAAGGTTGTTTGCCAGTGAGGAGAGAAAAAGGGAATTCTAGGTTGGGGAAAGTGTCTGCAAAGGTACTGTGATAGGTTTGTGGCAAAGTCAAGGGTGTTTGATATTTATGACTCAGAGGTCAGCGTATTTAATATTTATGACTCTAAGGTAAGAAATTGAGAAAGGAGACTGGAGAAAGAAGCTGAGGCTAGATTGGACAAAGTCTTTTAAGCCAAACTAAGAAGTTTGCATTTTAAAGTACAATGTGATTTTTATAAACGAAAATGACTAATATATGGTAAATTGAAGCATGATATTACTGATAACAGAGATCAATTAGTGATAACATTCCAGGACAGAGATAAGAACCTGATTTTAGGGAGTTATGAAAGTATTTAGGAGTTAAATATGAAAGGACTGACTGACTGGGTGGTTGAGAGAGAAGGAAGAATCTAAGGTGGCTTCTTCCTGCTTAGAAAGTGAGGTAGACAGGTTGGGCACAGAATCTTATGCTTGTAATCCCAGCACTTTGGGAGGCCAAGGTGGGCAGATCACTTGAGGTCAGGAGTTTGAAACCAGCCTGGCCAACATGGTGAAACCAGTCTCTATTTAAAAAAAAAAAAAAATTTATCTGGGCATGGTAGCATGTGACTCTAATCCCAGCTACTTGGGAGGCTGAGTCAGGAGAATCACTTGAACCCAGGAGGTGAAGATTGCAGTGAGCCAAGATCATACCACTGCACTCCAGCCTGGGCGACAGAGAGAGACTCCGTGTCCCTCTTAAAAAAAAAAAAAAACTTGTGGCCAGGCGAGGTGGCTCACGCCTGTAATCCCAGCACTTTGGGAGGCCGAGGCGGGCAGATCATGAGGTCAGGAGATTGAGACCAGCCTGGCTAACACGGTGAAACCCCGTCTCTACTAAAAATACAAAAAAATTAGTTGGGCGTGGTGATGGGCACCTGTAGTCCCAGCTACTCAGGAGGCTG